GCTTCTCCCTCTGCCCTCTTCCCTCTCGTGCTCTCTGTCTCTCATTCTCTCTCTCAAATAAATAAATAAAATCTTTAAAAAAAAAAAAAAAGAATGTAGCTATAAAGAAGATCTTGGTATAAGGAATTATAAGGTTTTTTTTCTTTTTGTTTTTTTAACAGTTTTTCTTATTAATTCTTTAAGTTTAATTACGTACTTTTTTTTTAAGTTGATGATCAGCTGACTGTTCACATAGATGAAGGTGGATGGGCTTGTCTGGTCTGCAAAGAGAAACTCATTATTTGGAAGATTGCTCTGTCACCTATTACTAAGGTAATTGCTATTTAGAAAGCTAGAAGGAGATAGAGGAGAGGATTACCAACTGGCTCTTAGTTATTACCCTAAAGCTCTAGAGTTGTTAGAGGACAGTAATCTGAATCTACTCAAACATTATGGATTTGCATTTTTGTTATGATATGAAATACTGAGCATGCATATACATTTTTGTATTGGGAAAAAAAATTTTCTCCCATTTAATTTTAAACTAGATCCATCTTATTTACATTTAATAACATTAGAGACTTCAAAATTTTTAATGAATGTTATAAATGTCATGTCAGTCTACCTAATGAAGTTTAAGGCTAAATGCCATCCACATAAGCTAATAAATTGAGTTTTTTTATTTCTAAGATAGGACTGTTTCACTAAATCTGCTGAATGATGCTTAATAGGGAAAAACAGGGGCATCTAGGTGACTCAGTCAGTTAAGCAGCCGACTCTTGATTTTGGCTCAAGTCATGATCTTGGGGTCCTGGGATTGAGCCCTGCGTCGGGCTCTGTGCTCAGCTGGGAGTCTGCTTCAGGATTCTTTCTCCCTCTGCCCTTCCCCTCCCACCAAATAAGTAAATAAGTCTTTTAAAAATAGGGAAAAAATGATACCAATTTTAGTTACTAGTTTAACTTTCAGTTGTCAAGTTTCTCACATAGGATTATCATTTGTGTTTCCAAGAATTTATTGTCAGCAACCTAATTTTCCTGTGTGTTCCATATCAGGCATCCTTCCTTGCACCAATCACTGGTCTGTTGTTACTGGGCCATTGTTCTATTGGAAGGCACTAGTTCTATTGGAACTGGGGACTTGTGCTTATCTGAACTCTTGACATCTGTGGCCTTTGTACTGCTGCTGCCTAGAAAGTAGTATTTGTAGTTGAGAGCATAGGCAAGGAGACATCCTGGGGGCTGTGATGAGTTAGCAGAAGGAGCCTGATACCTGGCTGAGGCTAAGAAATATTTCTGGACAACTTGGTATAATTAATTATTCTGTGGTCATGCTGATTTTAGATGTCAAATAAACAAATCAAGACTAGCCTGGGAGAATTCCATACATACCTCTCTTAACCAGTAGACTTTTTTTAGTCCGGAAAGGTATTGGGCTAGTTGATATTCAGTGTCTGGTCTACCTTTTAAGTTTTCCTGATTCTGTATCTCTTAAGATATTTTGTTTTGAAATTACTGAAAGCCCTGATGAAAGCCTGATCAAAAAGATGTGAGAAGAAAGAATATTTATAGAATGGTATTTCCAGCAGTGAATCAGAATCTGAAATATGCAGGGAAAGAAAATAGTGAAGTCAAGTGCATATTCAAAAAACTTGGATTTGATGTGAAAGATTTTTTCTTTGGGTTTCTTCTTTAGTTATCTGTTTGCAAAGAACTTCAGCTGCCGCCTAGTGACTTCCACTGGAGTGCTGACTTGGTGGCTCTCTCTTATTCTGATACTGCAGGTGAAACACATTCTACTCAGGTAGGTGACTTAAATGCTTATTGAAATATATTTTTTTTAAATAAGGGAGTTGTAATATTAGAGGAATCATCCAACCTGATTCGGAGATATAACTGTAAAGCCACAGGAATCAAGGCACTAGTATTGGCAGATAGACACATAGAGAATGCAGATACAGAGGTGGCCCTTTGATCTGTGACAGAGCTGCAACAGCAATTCAATGGAGTAAGGATAGTCTTTTCAGTAAATGGTGTTGGGACCATTGGTCATCCTTATGCAAAAAAAAAAAAAGAGAGGGGCTCCTGGGTGGCTCAGCCATTAAGCGTCTGCCTTCAGCTCAGGTCATGATTCCAGGGTCCTGGGATCGAGCCCCGCATGGGGCTCCCTGCTCTGCGGGAAGCCTGCTTCTCCCTCTCCCACTCCCCCTGCTTGTGTTCCCTCTCTCGCTGTGTCTCTCTCTGTCAAATAAATAAAATCTTTAAAAAAAAAAGGAAGAAAGAATTTCCCCCTAAACCTCCTATCTTACACAAAGATTAACTCAAAAGGGATCATAGATTTAGATGTAAAACATAAAACTATAAATTTTTGGAAGAAAACAGGAGAAAATCATCATGACCTGGGGTTAAACATAGAGTTCTTGGAAATCACCAAAAGCATGATTCATAAAAGAAAAAAATAGATAAATTGGACTTCCTCAAAATTAAAAACTTGGCTGTGTCAAAGACAGTGACAAGAACAAGAGACAAGCTACAGACTGGGAGAGAATATTCATAAGCCATATCCTACGAAGAACTTGTATCTAGAATGTAAAATGAACTCTCAGAGCTTAATAAGAAAACAACCCAATTTAAAAACGGCACAGGACTTGAACAGATACTTTACCAAAGAAGATATAAGGTATTACAGAGATGTTCACATCATTAGCCGTTAGGGAAATGCAAATTGAAACAATAGTGAGATATCACAATACACCTATTACAATGGCTAAAATATAAAATACTGACACCACCAAGTGCTGGCAAGGATGTGGAGCAACTAGAACTCATACATTGCTGATGGGAATGCAAAATGGTACAGCTACTTGATTTTCGCTTTCCAATGAAGTTGAAAGACACTTGCCATTATGACCCAACAATTCCATTCCTGGCTGTTTACCTCATAGAAATTAAAACTTAAGTTTACACAAAAAACAGTATATGAATGTCATAACAGCTTTATTTGTGATAGCCAAAGGTGGAAATAACCCAAATGTCCTTTAACAAGTGAATGAATAAACAAACGGGTTTCATCCGCAGAATGGAATACTACTCAACAGTAAAAAAGGAATGAACTCTTAATACAGCAACAACCCAGATGCATCTCAAAGACATGCTGAAGTGAGATGAGCCAGTGCTTAAAGGTTACATTCTGTATGATTTCATTTGCTTGACATTCTCAGAAAGACGAAACTATAATGATGGAAACTGGTTACCGGGGTTAAGATGGGGGAAAGATGTGATTATTAAGGGATAGTTAGCACTAGGGAGTTTGGGATGTTTACGGGACTGTGCTGTGTCCCTATATTGGTGGTAGTTACATGGGTCTATACAAGTGTTAAAATTAATAGAACTGCACAACAAAAGGAAAAGAAAGTCAATTTATAGTCTGATAATTTTTAAAATATAAAAAGGAGGGGTTTTGTCCCCCCTAATTTATGTTAAATAGTAAATTCCCCTAGTTTCTTTTTTTTTTTTTTTTTTAAATTTTTTTTTTTTTATTCATGTGACAGAGAGAGAGAGAGAGAGGGAATATGAGCAGGGGAGAGAGGCAGAGGGAGAGGGAGAAGCAGACTCCCCGCTGAGCCAGGAGCCTGATATGGGGCTCGATCCCAGGACCCTGAGATCATGCCCCGAGCTGAAGGCAGACGCTTAACCATCTGAGCCACCCAGGCGCCCCCCCCTAGTTTCTTTTTATCAGTGTCACCAGACTCCCAGTTTCAGGGTCCTTTTTACTGTGATTGCCGAGTGTTATGATCTTGTTTCAAGGCTGTTGCTGTCATGGTTGCCACCAGAGAAGGATCCATCCGCTATTGGCCAAGCCTTGCCGGTGAAGATATCTACACAGAGACCTTTGTAGATTTGGGAGGTGATAAGACTTACAGTTTCCTAACAGCAGTGCAGGTATATGATGGGTTTTCTTTCATATTTATTGGAAAGCTGTGATTTGGCTTGGGAGTGATATGTGAATGACTAAAAATTGTTTTGGATAGACCACACAGGCCAGAGAGGGATCAAAAAGAGGCAAGAGAAGAATGTAAGGGTCTAGGAGTTGAACAGTTTGACAAAGGAAAGCCCTTCTAGGACTCTGAAATACCAATATTAGGTCGTAGCCCATGGTATTCATTTCTTTCAGAAACATTTTCTGACAGTGACTTAGAAACCCTTAGACATTATGAAAAATGGCTTGCTAATGTACACTTCGCAAGTTTACCAAAGAACAAAATGTGATACTTGATTTGTTGAACCTGCAATGTGGTGAACCTGCAGTTTAAAAATCAGAATTAAAAAAACACCACTCAATTAAAAAAACAACCAAAGTTTCTCTATGTAGAATTAATAGTATCACGTATTAGTATCATGTAATAGTATTCATAATTAAATCATTTTAGTAAAATGACTCTTTTTTTATTCTTTTAGATTTGTTTTAAGGTACAGATGATAGATGATTTGTTTCTGTATCAAAGCATTTTGTGTTAATGTTCTTTATCTTAGTTATAGATGCATAACTTATTTACAATATTTGTTCATAGGGAGGAAGTTTTATTTTGTCCTCATTGGGAAGCCAGCTGGTTCGGCTGATACCTGATAGTTTAGGAAAGATTCATCAACACGTTCTGCCTCAAGGACAAGGCATGCTTTCAGGAATTGGTCGGAAGGTCTCTTCTCTTTTGGGAATTTTATCTCCAAGTAGTGATCTCATCGTAAGTTGATAAAATGATTTTGTTTTACAAGCTTGTTTCTTCATGAAATCAATAAGTTGAAAGTTTCCTACGAAGTTGGTATTGCCTCCGTATGAACACTAGCGTATATGAAGTAAAACTTTAGATCTTTTCAGTGAAGCATTTTTATCGTGATCAAATGAGTTCATACTAATCCTCTCACAAACCCTGTAACTTTAATATTCTTAAATCATACAGATTCTCTTATATGTACATTCCTTGAATTAAAACTGTTATATAAAATTACAAATGTGTTTAAGGACCAGTTTTGCTTTTTGACTTAACCAAAAGTGTGTTCTCCACTCCCATGACTCTGGCTATTTGTGTGGATGACTCAAATCTAGATCTGTCAGCTGGGCTTCTGCCTCAGGCTCTGGAATAATGAAGGGAGGCAGATGGGAGTGAACCTGGAGCATCTACTCTCTGCTAGGGGCTCTATATTTGTTATCTCGAGTAATATGATGACCTGTAACGTAGAGTGCTTTCTCCCCAGTTTGCAGATGAGGAAATAACCTCAGTGACATTTATGTAAACTGCCTGAGGTTGCACAACTACTCCACGGCAGATACGTGCCCAACTTCTTTGATTGAAAGCACATTTTCTTCTCACTGTGCTGTTTCCTTCTTTTTTTTTTTTTTTTTTAAGATTGTATTTATTTATTTGACAGAGAGAGATAGAGAGCTGAACACAAGCAAGGGGAGTGGCAGAGGGAGAAGCAGGCTTCCTGCCGAGCAGGGAGCCTGATGCGGGGCTTGATCCCAGGACCCTGGGACCATGACCTGAGCTGAAGGCAGAAGCTAAACAACTGAGCCACGCAGGCGCCCCTGTGCTGTTTCCTTCTAATTGAGGTTGCTCTCATCATCTGCTTTCTTGATGGTCTTCGAACCTACAGCCTAACATGTCTAAAAACAAATTGCTCATATTCCCTCTTCTCTCACATTTTCTACACCAAAAGTGTGTATAAAACTCATTTCTCTTTTGGCCTGTTTATTTCTGTTCATGACCTGTCACTTTTTTCAGTGACACCGGTATAAACTCTTCATTGTGTATGTGTTTGTGTGTGTCTCCCCAGCTATAGCAAATTCCGTACTTACCAGGCACTATAGATTTGACTTCTGTCATGTCTCATTTTCATCCCTATCTTTTACTTCCATTGTTAAGCCCTAATCTGCACTCTTGGTAAATTTCCCCTAAGCTCTTGGTGCCAGTTCAATTTACTCTCTGTTGGCTCCCTTATCCCATTAGTGGCCAGAAACATGGTGACAGGAGAAATGGAGAAGATTAGGGCTTTAACTCAAAATAGTCGGGTGCCCAACTAAAAACATAACTGTACTTCATAACCAAGTATATACTTGAAAAGGTGAAATAATCTGTCTGCAAACTTACCATTTTCGTTTTCCTATAACACAGCTCTTGAGTTCAGAAGCCATTGATAATATCTTGTTTACTGGGTTTACAAACTCACATTCAGGACTTTGCTCCATGTCCCTAATTTTTCATTTGAGCATTATTTCTACTTCTTTTCTAGTTATAGTCTACATTCCAATGTAACAGGACTACTTGTTGTTCTCTGAAAGACCTTATAACTTTCCCACAACTATACTCTTCGTGGGCTGTCTGCTTTTGTATTTCTGCCTATGGAAATCTTACCTTGCCTTCAAGGTCCATTTTAGGATCACTCCTTTATTTGAATACTAAACAAAGAATTCCGCTAGGATTACTAATGGAATACTTATAAAATATATCAAATTTAAGTTTCAGAAAAGTAGTTCATTCACATTAGAACTTAAAAATCTATAAATGTAACTTTTTTCTTCTCTCCTCTCCATACAGCTTTCAAGTGTCCTTTGGGATAGAGAGAGAGCAAGCTTTTATAGCCTGACAAGTTCAAACATCAGTAAATGGGAATTAGATGATTCTTCAGAAAAACAAGCACATAGTTGGGATATAAATAGAGCCCTTAAGGAAAACATTACTGATGCTATTTGGGTAAGGAAAAATAATATTCATCTTTGTAATTCACACTTTTGAGTATATGAGAATGCTCGTTTCTTTAATTGTTTTATTTATTAGAACATATTTCAATGCAGTGTAGCTTTTAGCAATCAGATAAGCAGAAATAGGGCGTTCAACCCCTAGAAATATTGGAGCTCACTGATTCACTTAGTAGTTTTTAAAATGCATGTATTATTTATTCAGTAACTATTTGAACTGTTCAGTAGGTGCTGGGAATACAAAGGTGAAAAGAAATGATCCTTACGCTCATGGAGCTTATGTTATTGATATTTTCATATAGGGATCTGAAAGTAACTACGAAGCTATTAAAGAAGGGGTCAACATTCGGTATTTGGATTTGAAGCAAAACTGGTAAGCAATTAGTTTGTCATCAAGAATATAGGTAGTTGTTTGGAAAAATAATGTTTATTGTAGAATGATGAGCAGTCTTGCTATCGTTCTTCTAATGCTATTCTCATCATACTTTTATACCTTACTAAATGGTTTTGTGTCCTTTTCTAGAGATGCTGGTTCATTTGAGAAATATAGGCAGCTCTCAGCTTTCAGCTGCATATTCTTATATTAGTTGTCTGCCCTAGTTCGAGACTCATCTTTCCTGCTCTTATGGCTGGAGCTTCTCTTTCTTCACACTGAGAGATGCCCTCCCTGCTGCTGTGTGTACTCCATGCTGCCATCCTTCCCTTCTCAGTGGAGATACCAGACATACTTCTCCAGCCCTTTTGCTTTAGTAAGCCTATGTTTGTGGTGATACAGAAGAAGGGAAGGTACGGTGAGGTTTTGTCTTGGCAGTACAAGTGAGAACTCACTTAGGGTTTGTATTCACAGTGAATTTCCTTTTAGAGACAATGCTCCAAGTGGCGCTTAAGATCCTAGGTTAGTCTGATAAAGTTAATTTATCCTGTGTTATTATTTAGTTTTAATACCAAAGGTCATATGGAACTTAAAAACCATTTGTAACATGGCTTCCATGAGAAAGTTCATAATGAGTACAAATATATGACTTGTCATTCTTCAAAACACAACTTACTAGAAGTTAAGAGCAATTTTTATGTGTTTTAGAGTAATTTAGTTTATTTAGTAGAACAAATTCTACTTATTTTTTGGAAGGATATTGCAGTTCTGCTGTATAATTTTTCTTAGGCTCTTGAGAATGTCAGTAAGATCCTTCTTTATAGTTTCTGAAAACCTTATAGGAACTATCAAAGAGGTAAAAATAATAGTATATATTTAATTTCCATAAGTGGCTTAATTAAATATAGTTTATGTGTTTTCATGTATCTTTACCAGACTTTCAGAAATTTAGAACTGCTGCTAGGACACAGCCCACGTGGGCATATGATGCAGACATTTTCACATAGTTTTCAGAATGGAGATGTGGACTGAAAAGAGAAGAGAAGCGTGCTTAAGAATTGCTGGACTGGGTCAGAGACCAGGCTCCTCTCCCTCATTGTTGTCATGCTAACAAGATGCTTGTGGGGCTTATGAGACACAGCTCTTGTTCTCCTAGTGATCCATACAGAGTGTCCATATCTGCACCTTTCTTCTATTTAAGAATAGGGTTTGTCTTCCTGATGCTCACTGATGCTCCTTGATCTTTTGCTCGTTTTGGCCGGGTTTGCAACCTAGGCATATATTTTCAGGGAACAGGCTTATAAATTCTTTTACTAGATTATTACTGAGCTCAGATAGCCTCGTTTTAGATGTGAAATTGGATTTTTTACGTCTTAAGTATATTATCTTGTATATAGTCATGTAAAAATTTATTGTTAAATTTTTACTAGTTTGCAAAATTTAGATTATCTACCTGTCATCTCTGCTACCTAAAATTGCTTCATGTTTTTTTTTTAAGTGTGAAGATGTTTTTATAAAGATGTCAAATAAAACTGGTCTAGCACCACTCTCTAAGGAATTCTATTTGTTAGACATGTCTCCATGACTCAGTGGCACCCCCATGATAGTCTTTAGAGTAACCTCAATACAGAGCCTTATCCTAGGTATAATCAACTCTGCCTCTCTCCTTGGTACATTCAAGACCACATTCTCTGGGACCTCACTTGGTTTCTTTTTTTGTTTGTCTTTGTCTTTTTGGCTGTACTTTTCATCTCTGACCTGTTTATTTTGTAACTGGAAATTTGTACCTGTTAATCCCCTTTATCTATTTTGCCTATCCCCTCAGCCATCTCCCATCTGGCAACTAAGAGTCTTTTGTTTTTCTGTTTGTTCATTTGTTTTGTTTTTAAGATTCCACATATAAGGGAGGTCATATGGTATTTTTCTTTCTGTGTCTGATTTATTTCACTTAGCATAATACCCTCTAGTTCCATCCATTTTGTGACAAATGGTAAAAATCTCTTTTTTATGGCTGAGTAGTATTCCATTGTGAGTGTGTGTGTGTGTGTGTGTGTGTGTGTGTGTGTGTGTGTACACTATATCTTTATCCATTCATTTCGTTGATGAGCACTGGGGTTGTTTCCATGTCTCAGCTGTTATAGATAATGCTGCAATAAACATAGGGGTGCATATATATTTTCAAATTAGTGTTTTTGTTTTCTTTGGATAAATACCCAGTAATGGAATTACTGGATTGTATGGTATTTCAATTTTTAATTTTTTGAGAAACCTCCATACTGTTTTCCACAGTGACTTCACCAGTTTGCATTCCCACCAACAGAATGTGAGGGCTCCTTTTTTCTCCACATCCTCACCAGCACTTGTTAATTCTTGTCCTTTTTATTTTAGCCATTCTGATAGGTGTGAGGTGATATCTCATTGTGGTTTTGATTTGCATTTCCCTGATGAATACTGATGTTGAGCATCTTTTCACATGTCTGTTAGCCATCTGTATGTCTTCTTTAGAAAAACATCTATTCATGGCCTCTGCCTATTTTTAAATCAGGTTGTTTGGGGTTTTTTTGGTGTTGTTGTGTAACTTCTTTACGTATTTTAGATATTAACCACTTATCAGATATATCACTTTTGAAATTCCATTCAGTAGGTTTCCTTTTTGTTTTGTTGATAGTTTCCTTTACTGTGCAAAAGCTTTTTATTTTGGTGTAGCCACAAGAGTTTGCTTTTGCTTTTGTTTTGCTTGCCTGAGGAGACATATCCATAAATAATGTTGTTAAGGCTGATGTCCAAGAGATTACTGCCTGTGTTTGCTTTTAGGAGTTTTATGGTTTCAGATCTCACATTTAGGTCTTTAATCTATTAGTTCCTTTTTATGCAAAACATTCTTCTATATCCTGTATTAGCTCTTTAGGTCACTGCCAGTATGTTACAAGTTTGGGCCAGTATTTTTGGATTCCTTTCAAGAGTCCAAGTAGAAATGATAAGAGTCCAGGAGCTGGGTGAAGATCACAGTGGAAAAACAAATGAGAGCCATGTTAGGATTGCTTGATTTGGAGTGATGTCATTTAGTCACTAGCTGGGTTTCATTTTTTTTTTTTTTTTTCTGTTTCTTGTTTTTAGTTGTCAGTAGAGGGCGCTTGCCCCCCATTAATATTTCTGAGACTTGAATGAAAGTTACTGATAATAAATACTACTGAATGTTTTGGAGGGGTTGAGATTAGAGACCATTTAATTCTTTGTTGAGGGCAACAGGTTTGTTTTTTTTTTAAAGATTTTATTTATTTGACAGAGACACAGTGAGAGAGGGAACACAAGCGGGGGAGTGGGAGAGGGAGAAGCAGGCTTCCCGCGGAGCAGGGAGCCTGGTGTGGGGCTCGATTCCAGGACCCTGGGACCATGACCTGAGCCGAAGGCAGATGCTTAACGACTGAGCCACCCAGGCGCCCCGAGGGCAACAATTTTGATAGACTTAAGAGAAACATATAAGCTTTAAGATAGAAAAATGTTTGTTTTCACATTGAAGTTTCTATAACTGATTGTTAAAAGTAGAAACAAAATGTTCCTCTGGACCAAAGTAAGCTTTAAAGAACAGATTAGGCCAGGGTTTGGCAGCCTTTCTTTGAAGGGCCCCAAACTGTTTTAGGCTTTGAGGGCATGTGGTCTTCACTGCAGCTATTCTACTCTTATCAATAATAGCATGAAAGCATCCATGGACAATACAGAAATGAGTGGGCATGGCTGTATTCCAGTAAAGCTTCATTTATAAAAACTCACTTGGGCACAGTTTGGCCTGAGGGCTATGCTTTGCCGGTCCTGCATTTGATGATTTGTTGATCTTTGTTTAAAGTCAGATTTATTGAGCTGTATTTTATATACAGTAAAATTCACCTGTTTTAGTGTATAATTTAATGAATTGACAAATGCAGACTCATTGGACTGTAAGACACAATCACGATATGGAATAGTTCCATCACCCCCAAAATTTCCTCATGTCCCATTGTAATCAAACCCTCCTTCACTTTCAACCCCTGGCAACTATTGATGTGTTTTCAGTCCCTGTAGTTAAACTACATTGCGTTCTTCTGAATGCCCTATAAATGGGATCATACAGTATAAAGTCTTTCGAGACTGGCTTCTTTCACTTAGCATAATGCATTTGATGTGCCTTCAATAGTTTCTTCCTTTTTACTGCTGAGTAGTGGCACACTCTGTAGAATTACCAGAGCTTGGGGCGCCTGGATGGCTGAGTCAGTTAAATGTCCCGACTCTTGATTTCAGCTCAGGTCATGATCTCAGGGTCATGGGATTGAGCCCTGCATTGGGCTCGTGCTCAGCTCAGAGTCTGCTTGGGATTCTGTCTCTCCTTCTGCCCCTCTCCCCACTTGTACTCTCTTCTCTCAAATAAGTAAAATCTTTAAAAAAAATTACCAGGATTTATCTATTAAGCAGTTGAAGGATATTGGGCTTCCAGTTTTAGGTAATTATGAATAAAGCCACTTTAGCTATTTGCACACAGGTTTTTGTGTGAACGTAAGTTTTTATTTTTAAATATCTAGGAGTGGGATTGCTAGGTCATATGGTTAGTATCTGTTTATAAGAAACTGACAAACTGACTTCCAAGAGGCTGCAGATCTTTCTTTTTCATTGATTAGTGATGGGCTCCTGATTTTGGCAGCCGCATGGCACCCAGCAGACAATCCATGTCTCATTTATTACTCTCTGATAACAGTAGAAGATAATGGCCACCAAATGTCTGATGCGGTAACTGTAGAAGTCACTCAGTATAATCCACCTTTTCAGGTAAGATTTCTATCTGTAAATTAAATTACAAATGACAATAACGTACTGAATTGTTTGTCCTAACCGTTGTAGGGTCAGGTTCTTTTGAGAGATTCACCTGTAGGGCTTGGAAATATTTTTAAATAGCTGGTTTTTAGGCATTGCATTTTGTTTGCCATCTGAGGCTCATTCCTTTGCACAGCCTTAGCTAAAGAGAGATGAGAGTGGAAGCAGCTGATAGCAAGCAGTTGTTTAATATTGTAAATATTGTTGAATAATGATGATGTTCATAAGGAAAAAAAGCTTAACTGTAAATTCATTTCATTTAGCCTTATATAGTATAGTATGTAATTTTGTTAAGTCTTTATTCTTAATATGACTGTAACTAAATACTGTAAGGAAATCGTTTAATTTGTCCTTTTGTTTCAAAGAAACCTTATAGTTCTGATTATGCAAGAAAAACATGCTCAGTGTTAAGATTTGTCAGGCAATGCAAAAGAGGTGTAAAGAAATAAAATTACTTCTTTAATAACAAACAGTATATATTTTTAACATTTGCTGATTTCATTTAATTAGGTCATATTTCTATTTCTGCTTCTGATTTTATCTATAAACAAATTAACTCAATTTTCTTGTGCTTGGTATCTTCACAGTGAAGTAAGAACCAAAATGTTCACCAGGGGTCACTTATAAAGTATTTGCCAATTTTAAATCAATAATAAATTAATCTTTTTTTCTGACATTTTTTATAGGCTTTTAGTTAAAATCTTAACCACCATGGGATTTTCAAAATTTGCTGATTATTTACAACTCGACAAATGATTTCTCTTAATTGATGTTTATAAACTTACCCTGTCATATTTTGTAAATCATCTAGTGTTTAGGTTTTGACAAGGACAGTCTGAATTATTTTATCACTTTTATGAGATAGTGTATAAAAATATAAATTACAAAATTACACAAACAAGTATTTTTGTTTTAATTACCATTATGTGTAATCTGACGTTTTTCAGTCTGAAGACTTGATCATGTGTCGGTTGATGGTCCCAAACTTTTCAAATCAGACTGCCTATCTGTATACTGAAAGTGCTGTCTATGTGTGTGCCACAGGAACTGGGAAGTTTTCTCTCCCTCGGGAGAAAATTGTCTTTAATACACAAGGTACAGTATCAGTTTCAGAAAGGATGATTAATGACTCGTTAGTCATTCTTAGCAGTTTTTATTCTCTTTCTGTAAGTGTTGTTTTAAACATGCCTCCAGGTGTTATTGAGACAGTCAGTACCAGAGCAGTAGTAGCTGAAGTCACAACCCTACTGAAATACCAATTCCCAAACTGTTATATTTATGGTCAAAAAAATAGTAATGTTTTCCCCCATAAGAGGCCAGGAAGCAAAACTCTGACACTAAGAAAAGTAATTGCTTATTCCTGGTTAGGCTAATTTATTCTGAGATGATGTTCTTTAAGTAAGTTTGTCCAGACCCCTAGCTAAGAAGAATCCCAGGTGCTGGACTCATGCAAGGGGGCTGGAATGACGGCAGAGGGTTGGGGGAGTCAGCCAGGAGTGAAAAAAAAGCCAAGCAGGCAGTTTAATCAGGATTTTTATCTAAAGAGATCGGACAGAGGGCAAAATCCAAGTGAGGCAACAGGATGGAACCTAGATTTTCTAGTTTCAACGCAAGAGCCTTGACTTTTGGTAGGGAGAATGTTAATAAGGAATTGAGCAAGCTGAGACTTTTCTTCCCTTCTCCATTGACCTACTTAATACATAAAGATAGAAAGAGGGCAAGAGGACTCCATTGGATTGAAAAAGCTGTCATTCTGAGTTTTGCAGAATGAATAATTTTCTTTTTGGTTTATTATACTCACTGCTATTTGGAAGGCTAGTTTTTATTTCCCAAACTGAAGGACACAGAGCCTGCTATTTCAAATAGCAACAGGTTCCTGACATTTGATTTGGAATTAAAAAGCTGAGTTCAAAGTAGGAGGAATATTGTAAAGGGAAAAAAAAGTTCTTAGTGTATCAAGATGATTCTCTGCTTAGGGGGTAGATTTTAGAAAGCATTTTTTTGTTATGTATGTCTGTATTTTTCTTTCTTTTAGGAGACAGTATTTTAGGAGCTGGTTCCTGCGGTGGTTTTCCTATCCTTTTTTCTAGAAACAGTGGGTTGGTGTCTATTACTTCAAGGGAAGGTGTGTCCATATTAGCAGAAGATCTTGAAGATTCCCTAGCATCTTCAGTTGCTGGACCCAGCAATGAGGTAATGTGGTTCCATAAGATTTTAAGATTTTTATCAGGGTTATTTCCCACAAATGTTTTAGTTTAACAGTTTTAAAAGAGTTGTGATGAAAACATAATTCTTTTACCTCCCTCATCTCCTTTGTCCTCCTTTCCAGAAGTAGCTCCTTTTAAGTCTTGTAGCTGTTTCTGCTGGTATTTTTCTCCATATTTCTAAGTAATATCATGTGTTGCCATCTCTTAATTCACCAATATTAGACATCTGTTGATTTCCTATTACAGAAGATAAGGATTTAGGGTAACTTATAGTCCTCCCTCTGCCTTTATCATCCCCCTATAAATTTTTTTCCTTTAATGACAGTGTGAATGTTACTTATGGTTCACTGAGTCAAGTAATATGCTGATTACATTTCCTTCATTACTCAGCTTTATGTGACTCTTGGAGTGTTTAATGGACTAATTTTATATTTGCTTTCACTCTTCTTTAATATCTGGCCCAACTTCTCACAGCCTCCAGGAGCTCTTTAAATGCCTGTCAGTATGGTTTTCCCCATAGTCAAATCTCTAGAAACTCTGCATCTACTGTCATCTTGGAACTTTCCTTTTCATAGTCCACAAATCCCCACCAGGACCTGTCCCTGCACCACACACACCAGTTTGCTTGTCTCCTCTCTGCTCTGTCATTGCCATTCCTTCTGGTTTCCATCTTCATGTGTTGTAGTTGGAATCACAGGTGTTCAGGTGGTTGCACTTCTTGCTATTGTGGGATGATTTTGACAGGGAGAGTGGGAAAAAAAAACTTTTTTTTTCTCTCATGTTGAAAATGAAGTACCCTGATCTGGAGATTTGTATCATTCTCTTATAGGAGACTAAAAATAATATCATTTGGGGTAATTTACACTTGAATAGAATGTGAACTATATAGACTATTTCTTTTTTTTTTTTTAAGATTTTATTTATTTGACAGAGAGAGACACAGCGAGAGAGGGAACACAAGCAAAGGGAGTGGGGGAGGGAGAAGCAGGCTTCCCGCGGAGCAGGGAGCCCGATGCGGGGCTCGATCCCAGGGCCCTGGGATCATGACCTGAGCTGAAGGCAGACGCTTAACAACTGAGCCACCCAGGCGCCCTATATACTATTTCTATAATTCAAAATTAAAATGATAGTTTCAACAGAAAGTAACAGTTTTTTTTACTTTTATTCCTTTGTAGTCATGTGATTTTTATAATATTGCCTTATATTCTGAAGCTATGTTATTCTTCTTTAAAATTTTTTCTAAATCCTTGTTTGAGTTTGAAATCAACCATTATTCTTAGTAATACACAATGAAATGAATTGTGTAAGAGCAAACCTATAAAAGGTTGTGCGGGTTATGATGAAACCCCCAGATAATTTTACGCAAAATATAATCCCTGTCAATCCATATTATTTATTTTTATTTTTATTTTTATTCCAGTGTAGTTAACATACATTGTTATACTCGTTTCGGGTATATAATGTAGTGATTCAATAATTGTATAAATTACTTAGTGCTCATTATGATAAATGCACTCTTAATCCCCTTCACCTATTTCACCCATCCCCCACTCACCTCCCCCCTCTGGTGACCACCAGTTTTTTCTCTATAGTTAAGAGTCTATTTTTTACTTTGTCTCTTTTTTTTTCTTTGTTTACTTTGTTTCCTAAATTCTACATATGAGGGGCGCCTGGGTGGCTCAGTTGTTAAGTGTCTCTCTTTGGCTAAGGTCATGGTCCCAGGGTCCTGGGATCAAGCCCCGCATCGGGCTCCCTGCTCCTCGGGAAGCCTGCTTCTCCCTCTCCCACGGCCCCTGCTTGTGTTCCCTCTCTTGCTGTGTCTCTATCAAATAAATAAATAAAAATCTTTAAAAAAAAATAAATTCCACCTATGAGTGAAATCATATGGTATTTGTCTTTCTCTGACTGACTTATTTCACTTAGCCTTTACTCTCTAGATCCTTCCATGTTGTTGCAAATGGCAAACTTTCATTCATTTTTATGGCTGAGTAATATTGCATTGTATGTATATATCACATCTTCTTTATCCATTCATCTATTGATGGACACTTAGGCTGCTTCCATAATCTAGCTATTGTAAATAGTGCTGCAATAACCATAGGAATTCATAATATATTTTTGAATTAGTGTTTTTGTATTCTTTGGGTAAATACCCAGTAGTGGAATTACTAGATCATATGATAATTCTGTTTTTAATTTTTTGAGCAATCTCCATACTGTTTTCCACAGTGCCTGCACCAGCTTACCTTGTCACCAAAAGTGTACAGTGGTTCCTTTTTCATCCATATCCTCGCCAACACTTACTGTTTCTTCTGTTTTTGACTTTAGCCTTTCTGACAGGTGTGAGGTAATATCTCGTTGTGGTTTTGATCTGCATTTATTATATCTAGAAAAGTGTTGCTGCAGCCAGTGTCAGAGAAATTATTGCCTTTGCTCTCTTCTAGGATTATTATGGTTTCAGTTCTCACATTTAGGTTTTTGTTTTGTTTTGTTTTAAAGATTTTATTTATTTATTTGACAGAGAGAGAGAGACAGCGAGAGCAGGAACACAAGCATACTTTGTAGTATAACTTGGTATCTGGGATTGTGATACCTCCTCCAGTTTTTTATTTTTCAGGATTCCTGTGGTTATATATACCTTTTTTTTTTAGCTTTGTTTTTAATTGTTATGTTAATCACCATACATTACATCATTAGTTTTTGATGTAGTGTTCCATGATTCATCGTTTGTGCATAACATCCAGTGCTCCATGCAGAACCTGCCCTCTTTAATATCCATCACCAGGCTAACCCATCCTACCACCCCCCTCCCCTCTAGAACCCTCAGTTTGTTTTTCAGAGTCCATCATCTCTCATGGTTCGTCTCCCCCTTCGGTTCCCCCCCTCTTCATTCTTCCCCTGCTGCTATCTTCTTTTTTTTTTTTCTTAACATTTATTGCATTATTTGTTTCAGAGGTACAGATCTGTGATTCAACAGTCTTGCACAATTCACAGCGCTCACCATAGCACATACGCTCCCCAGTGTCTATCACCCAGTCACCCCATCCCTCCCACCCCCACCACTCCAGCAACCCTCAGTTTGTTTCCTAAGAATTCCTCATATCAGTGAAGTCATATGATACATGTCTTTCTCTGATTGACTTATTTCACTCAGCTTAACACCCTCCAGTTCCATCCACGTCATTGCAAATGGCAAGATCTCATTCCTTTGATGGCTGCATAATATTCCATTGTATATATGTACCACATTTTCTTTATCCATTCATCTGTCGATGGACATCTTGGCTCTTTCC